CCAGCCGGGATGACCGCCGGCTCTACGAGTACAGCGTCAGCAACGGGCAGGAGGAGGAGATCTGGCAGATCCAGCTGGAAGTGTTCGGTAAAAAAAAAATTCCCCTGGGATTCACCGGGATGGACGATCCCCGTTTTTTTTCCGGGATGTTCCTGGTCTTTTTCCTGGATGATTCCTGGATGATTTTGGGAGCAGGTCCTGGATGATTTTGGGAGCAGGTCTTGGGAGAAGGGGGTGGGAAATGCTTTGGTGTCCAAAAAAATCCAGGAATTTCCATTTCTCCCTTTTTTCCAGAGCTGGAGGCTGATCCAAACTTTTTGCTGGAATTTCCCGGCTTCTTGTTGGATTTTCCCAGCCTTTCCCTGGAATTTCCTGGATGTTCCTGGATTTTTTTTTTTTTATTTTATTTTTTTTTGCTGGGCATTCTCAGCTTTTTGGGAGCAGCTCTGGGATGTGGGTGGCGACCACGGAGGCGGAAAACTCCCCATTCCGCGTCCCCCAAATCCTGGAATTCCCGTCCTTTCCCCCAGAGCCGGTGGCCCATCCCAGCATCCGGATCCTCCGCCGGGAATTGTCCAACGGCAGCTGCTCCCTGGAGCTCCGCTGCACCTCGGAGAGGGGGGATGAGGTTTCCTACAGCTGGGAGAGCCGGGACAACGGCACCGGGGGGATCTGCTCCGGGAACGGCAGCTTCCTGAACCTCTCCTATTCCCTGCGGAACGCCGGCTTCGGATGCGTCTGCACCGCCAGGAATCCCGTCAGCAGCCGGGACGCCGCCTTCGACTCTTCCCGGTGTGGCTTCGAGCAGCGGGGTAGGTCCTGGAATCCCGGAACCCTGGAATCCTGGAACCCCAGAATCCTGGAACCCCAGAATCCTGGAATCCCAGAATTCCAGAACCCCAGAATTCCAGAACTCCAAAATCCTGGAATTCCAGAATTCCAGAACCCCAGAATTCCAGAACCCCAGAATCCTGGAATCCCAGAATCTTGGAACCCCAAAATCCTGGAATCCCAGAACCCCAGAATCCTGGAACCCCAGAATTCCAGAACCCCAGAACCCCGGAATCCTGGAATTCCAGAACCCCAGAATCCCAGAACCCCAGAATCCTGGAATCCTGGAATTCCAGAACCCCAGAATCCAAGAACCTCAGAATTCCAGAATCCCAGAATTCCAGAGCCCCGGAATCCCAGGATTGTGGGGTGGGAAGGGAGCTCTGGAGATGTCCCAGGGCTGTCAAGGAAGGGTGGGAATTTTGACGGATTTGGGTGGGAATTTGACGGATTTGGGTGGAAATTTGACGGATTTGGGTGGAAATTTGACAGATTTGGGTGGGAATTTGACGGATTTGGGTGGAAATTTGACGGATTTGGGTGGAAATTTGACAGATTTGGGTGGGAATTTGACGGATTTGGGTGGGAATTCCAACAATTTTGAGATATTTCCATGGATTAATGGGATCCCCCTCCAGATGAGAGGTTTTTATGGATATTGGAGATACTTCTATGGATATCCGAGATATTTCTGTCCCTCAGGCCCCCTTAAAGCCACCAGGGAGATTTTTAGGGGTTTTTTTCTGACCCCAAATCCAGCCCCCGGTGGGTTTTTAGCCCCCGGCGAATTTTTAGCTGCAAATAAGGCAAAAAAGAGAGCTCGGAGAGGCATTTCCTGCCCTTTGGTTTCCTGTTCTGCAGCAAATCAACCCCAAACCTGGTGACAGAGGTGGCAAATTCAGCCTCCTCCAGATCTGGTGACGAAGAGGCAAAAATCAGACCCAAAAACAGGGGAAAAAGTGACAAAAATCAGCCCCAAAATCAGGGGGGAAAGTGACGAAAATCAGACCCAAAACCAGGGGAAGAAGTGATGAAAATCAACCCCAAAATCAGGGGACAAAGTGACAAAAATCACCCTCAAAATTAGGGGACAAAGCGACAAAAATCAGACCCAAAAACAGGGGACAAAGTGACAAAATTCAACCCCAAAATCAGGGGGAAAAGTGATGAAAATCAGACCCAAAACCAGGGGAAAAACTGACAAAATTCAACCCCAAAAACAGGGGGAAAAGTGACAAAAAATCAGCCCCAAAATCAGGGGAAAAAGTGACAGAAAACAGCCCCAAAATCAGGTGACAAAATCAGATGACAGAGGTGACAAAAATCAGCCCCAAAATCAGGGGACAAAGTGAGGGGAATCAGCCCCAAAATCAGGGGGAAAAGTGGCAAAAATCAGCCCCAAAATCGGGTGACAAAGTGACAAAAAATCAGCCCCAAAATCGGGTGACAAAGTGAGGGAAATCAGCCCCAAAATCAAGTGACAGGTGACAAAAATCAGCCCCAAAATCAGGGGACAAAATTCAACCCCAAAATCGGCCCCAAAATCAGGGGACAAAGTGACAAAATTCAACCCCAAAATCAGGTGACAAAATCAGGGGACAAAGTGACAAAATTCAGCCCCAAAATCAGGGGGAAAAGGGAAAAGTGACAAAATTCAACCCCACGATCAGGTGACAAAGTGACAAAATCAGGTGCCCGAAGGTGACCCGGGGCCACCTCCCGTGTGTCCCCTGCCTGTCCCAGGTGTCCCCGGGCTGCGGCCGGAGCTCCTGGCGCCGCTGCTGGCGCTCGCTGCCGTCGCCATCGTCACCGCCGCCGTTGTCACCTTCAGGGCCACCCGCCCGGCCAAACGTGAGTTCGGATTCCCCAAATCCCAAATTCCTGGGAAAGAATTCCGAGGTGGTGGAGGTCGAGGTGTGACCGGTGGTCACTCGGTGTCTGGTGGTCACTCGGTGTCCGGTGGTCACCCGGTGTCCGGTGGTTGCTCAGTGTCTGGTGGTCGCTCAGTGTCTGGTGGTCACCCGATGTCCGGTGGTCACTCGATGTACGGTGGTCACTCGATGTCCGGTGGTCACTCGATGTACGGTGGTCACTCGATGTCCGGTGGTTGCTCAGTGTCCGGTGGTCGCTCAGTGTCTGGTGGTCACTCGGTGTCCGGTGGTCACCCGGTGTCCAGTGGTCACTAGGTGTCTGGTGGTCACCCGATGTCCGGTGGTCACTCGGTGTCCGGTGGTCACCCGATGTCCGGTGGTCACTCGGTGTCTGGTGGTCACCCGATG